AAGAAAACAAAAGACTCAAATATGCACCATTTTCGTCTACAGTTTATTTAAGCTTCGCTGGTAGATATACGTATATAAATTGTCCTTATATTTTAAACAAATCAATGTCCGCTACACGCAAGTTTCGACATTATAAAGAACATAATATTCTATTGATCTCGAGCCACGATACGTTGGGGGACTTTTCTTACATTCATGAAATAATCGATATTCCTTGCTCCGAAAATTGATAGAATTTCCCCTATAATGCCAAGTGTTGAGATCTGAAATGTTTTGTTTAGTCATGTATCCCCCTCACGCTTCCCCTTTAGGTATTTGATTGAACGTGTTGCTCACATTGAAACACGCAACAACTCGAGAACCAGGCCTTGGGTGCGTGAATGCGGAACTGTATATATGTCAACATTAATAGCAGACGTGGGCCTAACTTTGCATATTTTGAGCTCTCTAAATATAGGTTTTACATGTCATTAGAGGCTAGATGAAAGTAGCATGATTATTTGTACAGCCAGCATGAAAATTAAAGTTAATGAAGGCAACATAGTGCATGGGCTGAATGAAACTCATCATTGTGGGTTGTACACCCAGCAAGTAGAAACACGGCTAAGCAGGTAAACTTTTCTTTTGCATAATACAGTAAACAAACATGCGACGAAACTTGTCACGAAAACCAGTAAATGTACAAGTATAAATTTAAACTATGAGTCTCAAATGATCGTTCATAATTCAAATTCTTAATATCATTTCCAATAAGAGACCAGGCACGAGCCAGCGTACACAGGTCTTCTCCTAAAATGGATCGTTCAGAACTTTAAGAAGAAGTGAAATAGCAGAGGCTTCGATTTTAATCGTAATTGAAAAGGTAAGAGAAACTTACTCACGTTAAACAGAAGTTTGTTGTTTTGAAAGGTAACGCATAACAGCACACAAAATGGTACTTTTCTCAATGCTAAGGCGGCATACTCATAACAAAGGCTGTTTTTTACTACGATCAATTCTAAAATTTAATTGGTGGAAAAATAAAGCGCGTTTAAGATACAAGAAGAGACGGAAAATTTATCTTGGCGACATGACCCCGAAAAAAAAAATACGTGATTGTGTGAAGACTTACGATTGATTATGAGAAAAAGAAACTATTCTTTTTCACAGTGTGACTGTAGCTTAATATCATACCAGTAAATTATATTTGTTTGATTTTTATTTGTACATCGTATTGTAACAATAGCTCAGGAACAGCAACAAGCCAGGAGTCAAACAAAGGCTTTAGAGAAACAGTAGCTAAGGAAGTATAATATACTCCAACAATAAAGACTTTGAATAAAGGGTAGGTAAGAAATTGAAAAGTAGTCCGGCAATAGCTTTAGCTAAATAATAAGCTAGGAACTTTATAGTATACCCAATATTTTTTGTTCGACAGTAGGTAAGAAAATATGTGGTATTCCAACAATAACTTTAGACCAACAGCACGTAAGAAAATATGTGGTATTCCAGCAATAATTTTAGACCAACAGCAGGTAAGAAAATATGTGGTATTCCAACAATAACTTTAGCAACAGTGGGTAAGAAAATATGTGGTATTCCAACAATAACTTTAGATCAACAGTGGGTAAGAAAATATGTGGTATTCCAACAATAACTTTAGACCAACAGTAGGTAAGAAAATATGTGGTATTCCAACAATAAGTTTAGACCAACAGTAGGTAAGAAAATATGTGGTATTCCAACAATAACTTTAGATCAACAGTAGATAAGAAAATATGTGGTATTCCAACAATAACTTTAGACCAACAGTAGGTAAGAAAATATTTGGTATTCCAACAATAAGTTTAGACCAACAGTAGGTAAGAAAATATGTGGTATTCCAACAATAACTTTAGATCAACAGTAGATAAGAGGATTTGAGCTGTTCCAACAATAACTTTAGACCAACAATAGATAAGAGGATTTGAGCTGTTCCAACAATAACTTTAGACCAACAATAGATAAGAGGATTTGAGCTATTCCAACAATAACTTTAGACCAACAGTAGATAAGAGGATTTGAACTATTCCAACAATAATTTTAGACCAACAGTAGATAAGAGGATTTGAGCTATTCTAACAAGTCCTTTAGGTCAATAGTTAATAAGGTTCTTTGGCTAAATCCCTTCACTGAAGATAATAACTACATACAATATACCTATGGGAAGCTTTTATTAAGAAGACGAAAAACAGTAGTTGAATAAAAGCAAAGAATTTGTAATTTAGATGGAGAATAAAGTCTATAATTTTATCAATAATAATTATTGTAAAACAACCGTTTAAGAAAGCCATAAGAACAATACCATTTTTCAACAGCAATCCTTCCAGAAGAAGGGATAATCGAAAGTAAGCTGTCTCGAGGAACAATGATATAACTTAAGTATGAGAAAAGAATTATCAGTAAAACAGATACTCAGGCATAATCAATAATCGAAAATATTGAAAGTATTGGTTTTCAGATTAAAAATCTACCTCGTACGAAAATTAACTTATCTATTAGAATTATTCATATTATTATTGAACTTAAATTTTAGTTTATATTGTGGTTAACCTAATTTTTGGAAATAGGATTACCGTTACACTTTGGCTGACTTAATGGTTTGGTCGTTTGTTGTTAAGAGCAAACCTGCATTATAAGCTATTTGTATTGTACCAATCACGGGTATTGAAAACCATTACAAGTGTTATAAGCTCTCGGACTTACCGCTAAGCTTCTGAGGGGGGAGTTTATTTAATGTGATTAAGATACCAGTTTAACTTTGGTTTACTAATAATCGCAATGAAATTTTAGTTCTTATTGTGATTGTCCTCTTTATTGTAAGTAAATTGTAGTTCGCATTATTGTTATGGTTGATTTAATTAATGAAATTATAATTTTAATTCGTTTTATAATTATAGTTAACCTAACTCTTGAAATTATAATATTATTTCGTATTAGTTGGCCTGATTATTGGAAATTAGTTTCTTCTTTGTACCTACTTGAGCTTTTCATGAAAGGTGATATTGTTATCCGTGGCCTGACTGACGCTGGAGAGTAGATTTATACTTATATACACTTATTGAAAACATCTTTTGATTTCTACTACAGTGACCTGTTAATTGAAAATTAAGTTTGACTGTGATGATTTGTTAGTCGAAGTTCCATTTTCATTCAAACTCTGGTTGATCAACTGATTTAAAGTAATTTCTGTGGTTAATTAATTCATAGTCACCAGTTAGGTTTTAACTTCAAGAAAATGGTTCATAAAAATAATGTTATTTAGAGCTTTTTCTGAATATATATGTTAATAACTCAATACCACAGCATTAAGGTAAACCTTCAAAGTCATTAAAAATGCAAGTCAGTGATAAGAAGTCAAAGCAAACTCTATCGTAAGCAGGTCTTCATGATAGTTAGTTTACTATAAATTAAAAGCTTTATCTTGTCTCACTTGGAATATGAGATTTCTTGTAAAATTTTAAATACAACTTAAATACTTGAGTTGTATCATCTGGAACGAGAGATTACATTATGATATTTATTTTAATATGATTAAATATTTTAACTTGTCTCACCTGGAATGAGAGATTACATTATGATATTTATTTTAATATGGATTAAATACTTTAAGTTGTCTCACCTAGAATGAGAT